TTACAAAGGCTCTTACCTTTAATGGTAGCCTGACATGCGACACCTTCAATACCGGGGAATTCGGGAAGATTCACTTTATAGAAGGAAAGGCACTTTTTGATCCCCAAAAGTATCCCTCCTCCACGTGAATCCTCACGATCCAATCGAATAATGTTTAAATCATAAAAAGGGAGATCAATTTCTGAAGAGAGCCATGTTTCACAGAGGGCAAATGCATCGCTATTATTGTAATGGACTAAATACTTGAAAGAATCTAATTTCGGAATAAGGCTTCGACAATTGCACTGTAGAACAGTGATCAAGTCCCCGACCTCGTTTGGAAAATTATCCATCGAAGGAGATGATAGCTGCAAGAAGCGGCCATTTTGAAGTCAATTGCTTCAAGAAGGATTTCACAGTGGGAAGCAATGTGAGGACAATGCTTTTCAGAGGATCAGAAATGTTGAGGTATTTGAGAATACCGTCTACAATGTCATCAAATGAGAACAACCCAGATGAAGAAGGGGTTTCTGTTCTTAAAATTGGGGCATCAGGGGTTTTGGATGTTCCCGGAAGAGGTGGAAAATCCTGGGTATAGTCAGTTCTGCGGAATCCAGGAAGAGTAGAAGTCTCCTTTTTTCCACCACTCCTTGATTTGGGCAAGCTGATTTGAGCATCTTGATTGTCAACTTTCCGCGAACGGATGCGTTTTCGTTGTCGTGCAGAAAAACGGAAAGAAGTTCCCTCCTCAGCCAAGTCAGAGTCAGTCTCGTTATCAGACAAAAGAGAAAAGGGATTTTTGTCATTGGTCGATGGCGTGGCTGTCTTCAGCATTTCTGCAAAAGACTGCCTGGAACGTTCCTTAAGGGAGCGTATCATTTTGTCCCCGAGCTGTTTGTACGCCGGGCACGACGAGAGAGCATGATGAGGAGTTCCGTTGCAGTACACGCATTTTGGTGCAGTAGCTGCGCAGGCGCCATCCTCATGCTTCTCCCCACATGTAGAGCAGCATGCCTTGTTGCCGCAGTGGGAGGCCGTATGTCCCAACCGCTTACAATGCTGGCAGTTCATGACCCGAGGTACAAACAACCGCACAGGAAGACGAAGTTTTCCCAGCTCGATGTATTGAGGAAGGGCAGATCCAGAAAAGGTCACCCAAAACGAGTCTGTGGGGGTAAAACTCTTTTTACCCTCGTTGAGCGATACTGATTTCATTCTATAAACGGCCAGTATCTTTACCGGAGGAAGCAAGGGGTTTTTGAATCGGCCAACCGCTTGCTTCTCCAGTATCTCGGGGTTCAAGTTCGCCTCAGTGACCACACCTTCGATTTCCACATCAGAGGCTGGAATGTACACCCTATATTCCAGTGTGAAAAACTGGGAAACAGCAATTTCATTGGCCTGTTTCAGGTTAGCGACGACCACACGAAGTTTGTTGTGCCGAACCTTCGTTATTTTGGTCACGGCAGAGAATCGCTTTGTCAGATCATCAGATATTTGCACAACATTCAAGAGTTTGTTTTTGGGTTAACCCATGGGCCAGTCGAGTCGTTCGGGTAGGCCCGCAATCTGGAGCTTTTCTCAGATTGACAGACTGAGACGACGAACCAGGGATGACATCATTAGTTTTCTGAGGTGAATGGTCATCCATGTCGTCTTCCGACAAAACTCCCATTTTGTTCTTCTAGTGGGAGCGCAAAACGCTCTCCCACTGAACTGATGTTTAAACTCGCACAGACACAGAAAACACTACAAACACAGAAATACAAAATGAAAATTTAACTAATGGGGGAGAAAACGAAACAAAAAAAAACTTATCTGATAATCCTATACTACTACCACCGAGCGTTATATGTGTAGGCGTTTACACAGATGGCTGGAAGGAACGCGCAGCGTGAATGACCTACGTTGTGGTGCACTTGATCGAGGCTCGGTACTCAGCGCACACAGGCGCACGATAATTGATGAACGATGTTGATGTAGAAACGGGTGCTCACACTCAATGATGATGATACGTGAGCAGGTATGCGTGACCACGCAACGATGATGCCCAAATTGGTTTGCGAATTACCAATAGCACGGATTAATCTTTCCGAAAATGACACTTTCTACTTAAAAAAACTCACTTTTCGATCAATTTACTGGGAACTATGCCAAGAGTCTCTTAGAGAGAAAAAAACTGATAATTTATATCAAGCGAATACCGAGAAAACTTCCAAAACAACGGAGCGTGAAACAAGTCGACCGTACTTCTTGGACCTCCAAAATTGCTACGTGTTGATGTAAATGTGAGATCTATTGCTAAAGGTCTTTGATTCAAGTCTTCCCATCGGGTTGAAACTCCTGTATTTAGGAAAATCATATTACTGTGTTCTAGTAGCTCACTAACTCTCCTCTTCTATCTGTTTTGTCAGATTGATTATCCTAAATCGGGTTGTGGGCATTGAAGTGCCCCCTAAGAGGATTGGAGTTGAACTTCTATCCATCTAGTTAAAAATATTTTCTAGATGATTTTTAATTTCTGATCATGTTGAGTCTGGTGGAATGTAAATGGATATGAATATTATAGGTTGTTTCAGATTTTTTTTAACGCTGTTAGTTCTAAGTCGATATTTGGCAATGTAATATCTTCAAATATGAGTGTTGGGTGAATTGATATTCCTGCACCCCCGTAGCCACCTATTCTACAGCTTTTACGAAGCTGTAATTAAAAAATTAAATTTTTCGTCTGGCTTAAGCCAAGTTTTTTTTACGTAGAAATATGTGAATATTTTTGTTTTTTTATGTTTTAATTGTTTCCCTTTTATGAAGAGGTCTTAAACTGTGAATGTTTAATTGGGATATATTTTATTCTCCTAAGTAGGATTGATCCATGACTTTAAAGTATGATTTATTGTGTTTTATGTTGTTCATTTGTTAGACTTAATAAGTTTTGTATCATTGAACCAATCTCGATCAAAAGTAAATCTGATTCTTGTTGTCGTTTTTTTTTTATCTGTGATTTTGGAAAAGATGTTTTGTAGTAGTATTGTAAGGTTTTGTTTTTGTGTTGTTTGTAGTTTGTCAGCTTTGGTGACTTTATTTGAGTTGTAATTTATAACTGATGTAAGAACTCAGCACTCACCAACTACCTACTCGGAGATCAAACATACAGCACCCGGTCGACTCAGGCGACAAGAGCAAGCTCCGGAACACCCAGGGTCGGCTAGCTACCGGGTAATCAGAGGGTTTCGCGATACAAAAACGAAGAACTTTTACTTTTATTTAAATGCTTTTATTTGCCACTTTCTGTATTATGTGCGTGTTGTTTTGTGTTCATAATTTCGTGTAATATGTGTCGTGTAGCCTAATCGCGTTGTTTACTGTAACCGGTACATACCGCTGCTGCCGTTGATGGTGAATCGGGATGGCCGACACAGTGACTCCTGTCCTACTGTGCGGCCGGAACTCTCGCCAGATTGGCGAAGCGAGCGGATGACGGGCCAGCGGGCGTTGCTGGACGATGGGATGGCAGACGTCGTCCTTCGTTGGCACGATTGGCCGACCGTGGCAAGGCCACCTTGGTCAAGCCGAGAAGGGAAAACTCCTTAGCGATTATAGCCTACGTTTGGCCAGATAGTAGTGTTTCCGTCCTTAACACTTAGGCTCGGAAACTGTTTCCAATATTTCTCGAGCCGGCCGTGTGCTGACGGATGACCTTTTTAAGGTTCAATATAAAAAAGAGGTCCTATCGGACGAATACGTAATTAATTTACGGTTTTTGGTGCAGGGTATTTAGTTACCTGTACGTTAGCTTGCCCTAGCGCACCTAGCTGCTGCTAGGGGGGGGGGGGTCCTGGTTCACGTTCTAAAACACCAACCACTGCACTTAGCTAATACAATTGCGTCATAGCACACGGACGCCTGATATTAAAAGAGACCGATTTTGGGCAATGGCCGTTCTTCTCCCCAATCTTCTTTCATCCCGTCATCCTAGTTTTCTATGGTTGTTTGTAGTTCTATTGTGGACATAACGTAACGGCACAACATTTTCACAGTGGTACAGAACCCTATCACTTCTGTGGTATACTGCTGTTTTTGCACAAGAAACGTGAAGGTTCTGAATATATAACATAAATGACAAAAACCTATGAATTTGTGACCAAACGGTTACACCACAGACAAACAGACATAACCCTCGCTAGTTGTTCATCGAACAAGCATTTAACGGTCAATTTAAAAGTATCGTAGTTGGTAGTACCGCCACCTGTGGCGCGCATAGTCAATTCCCTTGCGTTTGACGTTTACACACTACCGCCATCTGTTCAGCGTACTACCTACAACAGTGTACTCAACAGATGGCGGTAATGTTTTAGCGACGATGTTTTACAGTGAGAAATATTCAATGTGTTATGTCTGTTTGTCTGTGGTTACACTATCCACCACCCCGATAAAAAAAGGTGAAAGCACGAAGTGATTTTGCATTTTTTTTAAATTTGCTCCCTAAAGTCATATTCGGCCATCACAGGTTCGTGGATGTGCAACATAAACAACATTCAATTCACAATCTATAAACAATTTATCTCTAAAACGCGCGAAATCATAATTCAACTTTACTACAAATTAGAAATATAAATAATATAAAAACATGCTAAAATTTTGGGTTCTCGAGCACATACACAATTATTATATTTAAAATAATTAAAATGAAAATAATTCAACACATGTTATAATCTTACAAAATAAATAAATAAAATTATTTAAATAATCCCGTATTATGGGTAGACAACTCTTTTCGTATCATTTTACATTATTGCTGCGCAGCGAAAAATAATTACATTTACACAACCCTATTTACAAGTATTTACACCACTTTAGATCACATTCGGTACGCACGGCCGAATCTCCTGGCGGGATTAATTCACCGGCGGGCAAACTGTCAACAACTGTTGACATTTCGCCTGACATTTCGTATTGTATCAATTGCAACTGTCACAGCATATCTATTGTTTTGATTGTTTATTTACTTTATGCGTAACATTGTGAAATCGGGAAAACATTGAAGTGATTAAATTTATAAAAGTGGCCAAATTTGGACGAATCGTTTCGGTAAGTAGTACGTACGTATATAGCATAACGAGTATTGACTTCGTTTGTATGCGTGTGTGTCTTTTTAGGAGAGCTCATGTATTTGGGTTGTTGTGCTAAGCGGCTACAATCTTTGCTCGAAAGATTGGCCCATAGTCAACCCAATAATTCCCGGGATACCGTGAAAGCCATCTTGCCGGTGCAAGATGCATTCAGGTAAGTAAAGTGTACACATTAAAATCAATCAACAATGATTGAATGTTTGATTTTACTAGGCCAATTAAAAAATGGGGTTGTTCCACCCCGATATTTGCACAGGTCGTAGATGAGGGCAAGACGTCATCCCTCTTCGTCTACCGATTCTGCCAATGCCGGTGGATCCCCGAAATAGATCAGGTAAGTATGATCCATTCCCAAATTGTTAGCTATCCTTCCGTTTAATGACTGACCGGATTCCTTCATCTTAGTGCAACATGGACAGGTATAGGCTAACCAAATCAACGATTTTCCTTAACAAATTAACACAATTGACTAACATTCCATAGTCCTTCAGTGTTAAAAATTGATAAAAATTTACTTTCTCTTTTTATATTCCAGATTATTTTTCATCCGACACAAACCGACGTTAGCCCTTGTGACTGGGGACAAAAAGTAATTCCCACACGACACTGGACGACGGACTTGTGAGTGGCATGTACCTAGGAATAAAAAGGAGAAAATATATGTTTCTAAATTGTATAGGTTTAGAACGATTTGTTTTTCTTTTTGCGATGTTTGAAAGAATGGGTTTGGGTTCCAGGTGTCCGGAACGCAGAATATTCCTAGAATGTTCAAGTTCCAAAATCGATATAAATTTACTGCACAGTTCTTTGGCCGTAGGTTCCTCTTGAAGATAATTTGTGGCCTTTTTCCTGATCTTAAAAGATCGGGTTTGCTTTCTTTGGGATTCGGGGTTCAAAGTTAGTGAGTTTGAAGTTTGGAAAGCTTTACCAGGTAAGTCGCGAGGACAGTTCGAAGAAGGAAGCTTCGAGTTACTGGTGTTTTCCTGACTGTAAAAGCCGGAACTATTGCGTGACATGGGGCTTCTGTACGTTCCCTTTTTGACTTGAAGCAGGTCATCCGAATCTGAATCGGATTCGCTGGAGGACGGATCTAAATCTTCCGAGTCAAAGCTGGGAACTATCAGCACAATATCTGATTCCGGGTCCGACTCGGGTTCCCTGTATTCGCATGTCGCGCTAGGGGGTAAAAATCGCGAATTAATGTCACTAGTGACGATGTTCATGTCACGCAAAAACAGGTTCATAATTCGTTTAAGTTTACTAACGTCTTCTGGCATGAGGCGGCCTTCTATCCTCTGATTCCTTAATGTAATCAGAGTTTCTTCGAGGTCCAGTTCCAACTCCTCTAACGGATAGTTGGGATGTGAAGATGGGAGCGGCCTAGGAATCCCAAGTGATTCCTCCAGGTCCGAATCATCTGCATCGTACTCCTCTGCTTGCCAGGTAATTGGCTCATAATTTGTTTGAGCCTTTGCTAGTTTCTTGCGTGTCATTGTTGTGGAGAATCAGTGGTGTGGGTAGTGGGTTAAAATAAAATTGTATAAAAACATCGCGTATGCGGATCAAAACAAACAGTGAAAACATCATTACAAATAGTGTGCGTTTGTTGTCGTGATGATTGGACATGAAATAAATAAAGTTCAATTATGATTTATGTTTTTTTTTTAACATATAAACGATTCGCGATAAAAAAAAAAAAACAAAAATAACCAACATCAACGAATTTTTCAATGAAAAAAACAACAATCGGTAGCAAATTGGGTTCAGGACCTCTTTTAATGAAAAACGCTTCGAGTTTCGCAAAAATTTCACCAAAGTGCTAAAAAGTGAAGTGGAAACAAACATACGTGCAAGCACGGATCTCTGCCACCTCCCGTCGGAAAAATCCTTAGATTTTTGTATACTACGACGGACCCTTGATTACCTTTCGCGGACTTTTAGTTGGGCACCAAGTATAACTGATGTAAGAACTCAGCACTCACGAACTACCTACTCGGAGATCAAACATACAGCACCCGGTCGACTCAGGCGACAAGAGCAAGCTCCGGAACACCCAGGGTCGGCTAGCTACTGGGTAATCAGAGGGTTTCGCGATACAAAAACGAAAAACTTTCACTTTTCTTTAAATGCTTTTATTTGCCACTTTCTGTATTATGTGCGTGTTGTTTTGTGTTCATAATTTCGTGTAATATGTGTCGTGTAGCCTAATCGCGTTGTTTACTATACCGGAACATACCGCTGCTGCCGTTGATGGTGAATCGGGATGGGATGGTCGAATCGGGATGGGATGAATCGGGATGAATGGGATGAATCGGGACGGGATGGCCGACTCCTGTCCTACTGTGTGGCCGGAACTCTCGCCAGATTGGCGAAGCGAGCGGATGACGGGCCAGCGGGCGTTGCTGGACGATGGGATGGCAAGCGTCGTCCTTCGTTGGCACGATCGGCCGACCGTGGCAAGGCCACCTTGGTCAAGCCGAGAAGGGAAAACTCCTTAGCGATTATAGCCTACGTTTGGCCAAATAGTAGTGTTTCGGTCCTTAACACTTAGGCTCGGAAACTGTTTCCAATATTTCTCGAACCGGCCGTGTGCTGACGGATGACCTTTTTAAGGTCCAATATAAAAAAGAGGTCCTATCGGACGAATACGTAATTAATTTACGGTTTTTGGTGCAGGGTATTTAGTTATCTGAACGTTAGCTTGCCCTAGCGCACCTAGCTGCTGCTAGGGGGGGGGGGGTCCTGGTTAACGTTCTAAAATACTAACCACTGCACTTAGCTAATACAATTGCGTCTTAGCACACGGACGCCTGATATTAAAAGAGGCCGATTTTGGGCAATGGCCGTTCTTCTCCCCAATCTTCTTTCATCCCGTCATCCTAGTTTTCTATGGTTGTTTGTAGTTCTATTGTGGACATAACGTAATGGCACAACATTTTCACAGCGGTACAGAACCCTATCACTTCTGTGGTATACTGCTGTTTTGACATAGAACTACGTCTTTGTCGACTATACTGGGGTGCAAATCAAAAAATATGTGTGGTGAAGGAGTGTTAGGTTTTGAACGCTTGTAACTTTGTCATTTATAGATGAAATTAAAATCCAAATACGCCAATCGATAGGATATTACATTACGAACCTGTTGAAATAAATATATTTCCAATGTTTCTGTAATTAAACTATTGAAAATGTACAAATGATAATTTTATCACTGATTTCATGAAATAAGCCTTTTTCCCAAACCCAGTCATCATAAACGAATACAACTTGGTTGCACATCATTCCGCTTGAACCTGAAAAGTTATAAATCAGCGCTGCTCTCATGCCTCTGCTCATTACCGCTTCGGACAGCGTGGCACTAGGTCCTGCATCAAGCATCAAAGGTGGATCATGGCGTGTCCACCACAATGAGGGATGAGACTTGAAAAAACGTGCATGTAAAACCCCCTCCTCCTCCCCCTAAAACAATAACCCGAAAAAGTCATGGACTTTGACGATCATTTTTTTCCGGAAATAAATTTTAAACAAACCTTAATAGCCAACATTTTCAAAAAAAATGTTGCTTAATAGGAGACATACACTCGATGAATTACCAACAACTGACTGTAAAAAAAAACTTTTAGCTCCGCCCCATTCATAAAAAACGGTGGGAAATCCTATCAGGTTCTGAACCTGAAAAGATATAAAGCAGCGCTGCTGTCATGCGTTTGCTCATTGTCGCTTCGGACGGCGTGGCACTTGGTCCTGCAGTAAGCAGGACCAAATCAGCGGCTAAAGGTGGATCACGGTGTGACCACAATGAGGAAAAGTGTAATGTATGTAAACCCCCTCCCCCTTTCACAACAACCTCTCTCCCTCGCCCTTCACAACAATCTCCCCACCACTCAACAACCTCTCCTACCCCCCCTCCCCCACTCATCAACAACCTTTCCTAACCCCCCCACTCATCAACAAACTTTCCAAACAACCCCCCTCCTCCCTCAAATCCCACACATGAGTTGTTGCAACGTGATCAACAAATCAATATCTATGTGTCGGCCACATACTTAATATATGTACATATAAAAACCATGCGTGACCACACATACTATTCATTTGCGTATAAATTTCATGTGTACTTCAGAGTGGATTCTGTTTATCGTGGTCAAACGAAAATCATGTGGAATTTCACATGGATATTTGTCAAGAAAAATGTGTAAATTGTTTAGAGTCAACCATAACCGAAACATTGAAATACTTGAAAATTTTAAGATAAAGTATAATAGTCAAAAATGCATGAAAAACATCAATTTTGTGTGGTTCTACGTCATACTGCGGTCGTGTCTAGGACACAACCCTTTAATTTTTGCACAAGAAACGTGAAGGTTCTGAATATATAACATAAATGACAAAAACCTATGAATTTGTGACCAAACGGTTACAAATTAATAGTTCTGACCGGTTCTGGGATTATTTCTACTGTTGGATAATTTATTTTTTATTTCCGGCTTATAATTGTTTGTCTGATTTGGTGTGTTTTTTATGTCAGATTAGGCACAATTTGTTTGTAGTCAATTTTCGTCTTGTTCGAGTTATTTACTTGTCTGAACTCTCTATTTGTCGTACTTGGTTGTTCCATTTCAGGAAAATCAACGGTAGACTCCAGAAGAGCATAGCTGTTCCTAGTGCTAATTTCAGGCTTTGGATATAGTTGTTCTGCTTCTTGATATGTAATTTTGTTCACTATCATTGCAACATTTACATGTTCCATTCTTATGCGTTCTGGGCAATCCTTACTAGTTGGTAAATGATCTCCTCCACAGTTCCAACATTATCGTTTGTTCGTTTTCTGACATTCTGTGTGATCTTCTGTTTCGTATTTTCCACATGCATTAATGTCGTCTTACTCTTACATGCTACGTTTTTGTGACCTAACCTCCAACATTTTGTGCAAATTCTGGTTTCACATAAACCCCGTATATTTGAATTGTTCTTGGTAATTGTGAACCGTCAACCGTTATTTTCACAGATCTCGTATCGATTAGTCCCGATCGTGCGTCTTTCGGATGTTTTCGTCGTTTTATTCTCTCTACTCTGATGATTTTTTTCTTCACTTACTGCATTTTGATAGATTTTTCACTCAGAGATCATCAGAGTAGAAAGAATAAAACGACGAATAGATCCGAAAGACTATAGGTATGTTTTTAATGATTTCCGTAGTTTCGAGTAACATTTTTGAAATGAAAGCTTTGTAGTTATTGTTTTTTAATGTTTTTGTTGAATTAAGGATTTTTTCTGTGTATGTGGTTTTTTTGTATGTAAGTTTATATCTGTATTGTCCTGCTTGTTTGAGTTCTGTGAATTAGTCAAGTTTCATTTCATATAAAAATTTACCCACTTCCATGGGTCTAGCAAGTTTTCACCTTCTTCAATCGAGATTAGTTAAATGAATACTACATTGTGTTGGTCGTTTTTAACCCAGTTCTGTTGTTCTGGTTGATTTTTATCGTTTTTTTTTCTGTTGGTTTTGTGGTCGTGTTATTTTTGCTTGTGCTTAGTGTTTGTGAGTTGACTGTTGTGGTAAAAGTAAGCGTTTGTTTTTGTGTATTTGGTTCTGATTGTATTTGTGATTG